TACTAAAATGAGAAAATATATAAAATTTCGTCGAATCAGGTTCTGATGAAGAAACATATATTTGTCATCAAAGTCAATGTTTGTTGACATAGGGAAAGCGTAAAAAGGCACTTTTAATCATTTATGTAGGGAATTCCTCAGCTCTCATGCGGCAGTTTTCAAACTTGAAAAGTCTGAGTGTTTGAAATTGACCATTTGGGCTGGTCACAAATTCTTGGGGAGGTGAATGATTACAGAATAGATGTGCAACAAAATTTCCTATGGTGACATGTCTCAGGACACCACTTCTGGTGGTGAATGAAAATTATTGATATTTTCCATAAAACTAAAAATTTCATTTTATTTTGGACTTGTTTCTGGAATAAACGTGTAACAGGAAGATCAATAAGTAAAATTAGTGAACTTGAAAAAAGAGGCCTCGTCAATCACCTTAGCCGCCTATTTTCAATTATAAAAACGTATTCCTAATTGAAAACCTTGTTGATTTAGTCTATTATTATTTCGTTTTATATTTGGAACTACAAATAAAAACAAACTTCATCATCGTAACCAAATAGATAATTATTTCGGGTCAAGAACAAAATAACGAATTCCAGTGATATTTTGCTTTGCTCCCGACGGAACAGTCACTGTCGGGGTCTTGGATTCCTTGAAACATGAGTTGAGAGAGAGACGAAAAGTTTCCATAGCCGGTTTTGGATGGCTTCTTTTACATCCTTTATCATCGGTATTAGTGTAAACGAGTGTGGGTGAACCAGAAACTCGATCTTAGATTGTATAACAGCTAACGCGAGGCACATTGGACATTGATTAATGATGGTCACATGCTCATCTGCAAAATTAATATATATATATATATATATATATATATATATGTTTCCAGTACAATTAAGTGGCCCTGAAGGCAAAGCTTGAGAGGTAGAGTACTCGTTATCGCAATTGCTGTAAAAGGTTAATGACACGAGTTATGATTTCATTCATTTTGACAGAATCCAAATTTTGTCCCATATTAATGTGTTGTAAATTCTTCTCGAGCACCAGAGGCTGACTTCGGGTAGTCACTAATGTATACAGTGAGTTGCAAAGATCAATGGAAAGGAAGTCCGATGGTATAACGCAAGGTCACTGATTGTTTGATGAGATACTTGCTTATAGTGGTTTATTGAGGCAGGTGTCAACGATAAATCTTGAAGATCTCGTTTGAGCCGCATTAAAACATATAGACAACTGTTTGCCACATGTTTTTGAAACGTCAGTATAGTTTAAGTGCCAAAAAACGATTCGAAGGTTACGAAACTGAGGCCTGGTTCCGCCAGTCTGTGACTCGTTCAACAGGATCTCAAGGCGGTGAATCTCGTCAAAGTATTGATTAATGTATTTTACCTGAAAATAGCCAGCTTAATACTATATAGTATGTCAAAAACATTACCGTAATAAATGAGAATTTATCAGAGTTGTTTTTCCTCTCCGCACTAGTTAGAAATCTACTTTGAAAATGTTAGTATCAAAAAGTAAGGTGAAATTGTCACTTAAAACTCCCGGGCATTAGGAAGGCAAGTAAATTCTTTTTTCATAGGCTGGTAGGACTGTCTATAACATTTGATAAGCGTCTGTTTGTCAAGAGGTTTAATTATCTCCGAGTTACACGTGTTTTTGTAAACAACCAAAAGTGAATTTTTCGATTTTTACAATGGGTGATTTTGTTGACCAAAGAACTTTCATCAAATTTTTTTCGCTGAACAACGGACTCGTCGAAAATGTTGCGGAAGACCTTTGGTGATCAAACTATGCCAAAAAAAACATTTATAAGTAGGTCAACGAGTTCAAAGCGGGCCGAGAATGCGTTGAAGACGAACCGCGCTCTGGACCATCAACGTCTACCGACGAGGACCACGACTGACAAATCAAAGATTTGGTGCTTGAAAATCGTCGATTGACAATTAGAGACCTCGCTGATAGTGTTGGAATATCATTTGGCTCAGCCCAAACCATTGTGAAGGTTGATGGGTGCCAAAATCGCTCAATTTTTTGGACAAACAGCGTCGCGTTGATGTGTGTGAAACTTTGCTGTCTGACTATCAGGACCGCTTGAAATGTATCATTACTGAAGACGAGACTTGGATTTACGCATACGTCCCTGAAACCACCGACCAACCCAGCGAATGTCGTGCAAAAGGTGAAGCAAGACCGAAAAGACCACGGCAAAGTCGATCGAAAATCAAGGTCATGTTGACAGTTTTCTTTGATTATCGTGGTGTGGTGCACTATGAATTCCTTCCGAGGGGCCAAACTGTCAACAAAAAATATTATTTGAGCGTTATGCGTCGTTTGCGTTCGTCTGAAACGGCGAACATGGGCGAACAACTCTTGGTACCTTCATCACGATAATGCATCATGTGATACTGCATTGGTTCTTCGCGACTTTTTTGCCAAAAACTCGACTCATATCGTTCCGCAACCACCGTATTCGCCTGATTTGGCTCCGCGCGACTTCTGGCCATTGAGCAAACTCAAAAGGCCAATACGGCGACTGTTTCGAGGACTGGCAAAAGTGCGTTTTATCGGACGGGGATGAAATTGATTTGGCAGCATAAATAACGAATTTACATTTTATAAACAATTTCACCTTACTTTTTGATCACAGACTAAAATCTCCTTTGGACGGGCACACCAATGGGACTGACTGAAAGTGTCTGTTCAAGAGGGGTGTCCGTAGAAAAAAGAAGCAAAGTTCATTGAATTATAGAAAACCAACCATGTTTGTGTTAATATTTTGTAGCATAACCATTATTATCAATTACCGCCTGGCATCGTCGCGGCATAGATTGTAGAAGTTTCTTGATATAAGATTCATCAATCTGTCTCCACTTTTGCTCTAAAGCGGCAGAAAGTTCTTCCTTGTTTGAATAATGTTTATCTCGTAGTTGCTTATCTAAGTATTCCCATAGATTTTCAATGGGGTTTATATCGGGAGAATGTGAAGTCCATTTGAGAACTGGTATTTTTTCATCCAGTAAAGAATTTCTTTGCGAGATATGAAGTGTGCTTCGGGTCATTATCTTGCTGGAAGATTGATCTTAAGGGCATATTGTCTTCCATATAGGGTAACATGGCATGCTTTAGTATGTCTGTGTATACAAACTTATCCATAATGCCATCTATTCTATGGAAAGGTCCCATCCCAAATCCCGAAAAGCACCCGCCTCCATGTTTGACAGTGTGCAAAGTGTACTTGGGGTTCAATCTTTGTCCACTAGGACGTCTAACGTAATGAAAACCATCTGATCCAAACATATTGAACTTGGATTCGTCACTGAAACATACCCTGTTCCAGTCATAGATGCTCCAATCAAGATGCAACCGTGCAAATTGTAATCGGTCCTTACGGTTTTTCCTCGAGATTAGCGGCTTCTTATGCGGGCGACGTGCAAATAACTTCAAATCATTTAATCTCCTACTTATAGTTTTCGTAGAAACACTGACAATTCCTTTTGTCTCGATTTCGGCTTTTATTTGTCTTAGGGTTTTAAACGGATCTTTGGACGAAATTATTTTTATTAATCTAATTGATCTAGCATTTAGTTATCTAGGTCGACCTTTTTGTTTATATTTGTTCAATATTACCCAAACTGCTTTACGCTTCAGCTTCAAGTTTTTGGCAATGTTGACTTGATGTTGACCATCTTTGTATAACTCAATGATCTTAGTTTTCACATCGAAAGAAATTCATTCCACAATACTTGATGAACACAAACTAATCCTCTTCTGACACAAAACTGTACTAAACTAATGTTGAAAAGAATTTGTCTACATATTTTTGTCCCTCATAAAAAAGTGCTTATATTCAGACTTATATTGCAGATAATATAAAAACAAGGAATTTAGTTTTTCTACTAATAACGCATTTGTTTATGGAGCAATGAAGTATGAATTATTTTCTAAAGGTATTTAGGTAAATATTCGTATTTGTCTATATACTTTTGTCCATTACTGTATGTATTACATACATATATGTTGTACCACAAAACAATTAAATATAAAGTCACTTTAAAGACGCAAAAATTCATATATAGTCGTTTGTAAATCATATTGCGAACTTAGAAAGAAGCTGCAAAGTCTTCCTGATTTTCGACAAAAATTTTAAGCTGCTTGGTTAGGGAAATAGCTTTACTATAATTTGGAATATCATCTGTTTGGTACTGGAACCTTATCGACATCAGAATCTTCGGAAAGTTCTTGTATTTCAACTGGACTTTCAATTTCTTGGCCTGAGTCTGGATCAACATACAAACTTTCATCTAGGTTCAACAAATCATAAAGGTTTTCATTATTAGTCAATTTCAATAAATTCTTATTTTTGAAGATATCTGAAAGTACATTAAGTGGCAAGTAATCTTCTGGGTCAGGTGTGTCAGCTTCATTTAACTGGTATTCCCTTTGATATTCACATGCTTAAATCCTGCTTTGTAGAAATAATTTTGCACTGTTTCTTTGGTTACTATATGTTATATGCGAATATGGTTGGCTACAGCGCCATCTACGAGACACTAACCTTTTCAAAGTAGATTTCTAATTATTGCTGAGAGGAGAAACATCTAGTTGTGACAAATTCTTATAGATGACGCTGGGATATCTCATTTGTCGGATAACTTTTTCTGCGCGGGCATATAATATTAGGCTGGCTATCTTCAGGTAGCAGTACGTTGATCAATGGTCTTAGTAATACCTCAAGATTACTTGGCGCAGAGAGAATGCCGTTACCGCTCTTCTTACCTTCAGTACATTTTAGGGTGCAAGATTTCGATGAAGAGAATGTAGGATTTTGAGATTAACACACTGAAGCAATGCAAGTGATCTTTCCACGGGCCAATAAAACATTTTCGTATACTTATGCCCAAATTTAGTACCTAAAGACCGATTTTATTTATCGAAAATTTATCGGATTCAGTCGAATATTCATGACATTTTCCAGTGGACTCAGATTTTGTATATCTTTTCAGGTGTGTAGTATAGATGACCTGGAAGATGGAAAAGAATACGTGGTGTGCGGCAAAGGAGAAATTTTCAAGAAAATCGAATATACGAAGACCGACACGCTGAAGTCAAAGAAACTGTCCAATACGAAATTCAACGTACAAAATACCCCTCCAAATAACCCTCCAAGGATCATCCCTCCCGATTGCGTTCGACCCAGGATAGTTACTATTATTAGGAACGGCATCAAACCCAGAAAGGTGAAGTTTTATCCAGTATTACTTCATGTTAGCCTCTTCTTTTTGATGCCATGTAGCATTTTCGTCTAGATCATGCGTTGCTGTCAAATGCAAGATGTCTTCATATTGGTCCTGAAATGTCATTTTGAGGCCAAGAGGACGTACGTCACATTGCACTCTTATGCAAGGCACAATGTGGTTGCTATTTGTAGGGTTGGGCGGTAACCGAAAATAACAAGTTATTTTCATTCATAACAATTCAAGGCATCACCAGGGTGCTTACGCTTGCCAAAAACGTCGTAAATCGTATACCTGTGTGGCATCCATACAATATAAAATAAGAAAAGGCGGCTAAGTTTTCAGACGACAAAAACATTACATTCATGTTATCCCATCTTATTCGTTGTGATTTTTGTAGATGAAAACGAAGTTTCTTCCAATGAATAAAGTCTTTTATCCGATAACCAGAACCGTATGTAATGAAATAACTGGTTTAAAACAGGTTCACCTGATTTAAAAAAACAGGTCATCCATTCAACCGGTTATTTTTGACCATCCCAACAAATAACCTTTGAGGTCTTTATTTAGGTCACTAAGGTGTCATCACTTTCAGGAAATCTATGTATCCATCTTTCGTTGTTAAAATCATGGGTGTCAATTTTTCGGCGTGCTCAATGTTCAATGTGAAAAAGACACAAGTATTCGTCATGCGATCGAATGTTACAATTTGTTGTATAAGTCTCACAATAATACACTGGAGAAGTCGTAGCGCGCTTCGCTTTTATTTTTTCTACGACTTCTCTAGTGTTTTATGGTTGAACCTGTACAACAAATTGTACTATTCTATCGCATCATAAAAGAGTTTATCAAGTAAGAGCACCTACAATCTATAGAGTATGTCCCAGATTCGCTTCTCTATCCAGGGATCTCGATTCCTGTTATACGTACAGCAAATGTTAAATGTTGAATCTTTTAGAGGAAACTTAGTGCATTCGACAGCTGGCTTCAGATTTACGAGCGGTCAATTGGTTTTGAAAATAACGGCGAAAAACCGAAAATGTCGAATTTTCTTTTTATTCGGACATTTTCTTAAGGCAAATAATATAGCGTGTATGAAATGTCTCAACCGTCTTTTGTTTTCCCGCAACCTGCATAAAAAAGTAAAATTGCCAGTCTAGTGATGTCTCGCAAGGGCATAAAAGATTGAAGTATCTCCGAAATATTATCACACGTAATGTTATGAATAAGTTTTATTCTAAGGAGGCCCTGATTTATTTGTCAGAAAATAACATTAATGAGTAAGGCATAAAAAACAAACGTTATATTATATATATATACATATATATATATATATATATATATATATATTAAAGTTAATATCGACTCCTCCACAAGTCAAATGCTTTTGTGTTTTTAATAAGCACAACACATCACTGGACTGTAGAAAACCCTTACAAAGTGTCAGAGAGAAGTCTACAGACCAGATATGGAACTAACGTTTGCTGAGGGCTCATTGGTAATTTAATCTAACTCACCTTTTTTAATTGGGCACCTATTTGAAATTAGGTATCAATCATTTCAGAAAATGGACTTATAGGACCATTTTTGTTTGGCTACAACCTAAACGATCAGAGGTACCGAGAGCTTTTGCGATACCAGGTTGTGCCGGCTTTACGAACTAGTCTAACCGAATATGAGCTTAGAAGAACCTGGTTTCAACAGGACGGATGTCCGGCTCACAACACCATTCAAGTCAGGAACTTCTTAAGAGAGCAGTTTGATGAAGTAATAATTTCATTAAATGGATCTTGGCGTCCTAGATTCCCTGACCTTTCATCCTTGGATTTCTACCTCTGGGGTCGCACAAATAATGAGGTCTATGAATTTGATCTTCACGCGACCATAGAAATCCTGAGACAAAGAATTTTGAGCACAGTAGAAACATTAACAGAAATACACTAGCTAAGGTTGTACGAAAAACAGTCACCAATTGTCAAGAATGTCTGGATGCAAATGGACGTTATTTTGCAAATCTGTAAATTAATACTCACTTACATAATTAGATTTTACATAATATTACAATTTTTCACACATCTGTGGCAAATGGATCACTTCCAATGCCAAACCGAACGACAAAAAAAATTACAATTTTGCAAAATGTTTGTTCAAGTGTAAAATGAATTCAAGACGATTTTTCTTACTTGTTTTTTTTAACACACTCATAGTTGGGAATTTGTCCCAAAACATTTGACTTGTGGAGGAGTCGATATTATCGTTAATATATAACGTTTATATGGTTTTTATGCCTTGCTCATTAATGTTATTTTCTGATAAATAAATCAAGGCCTCCTTAGAAAAAACGAATACATAACATTACGTGTGGTGATATTTCGGAGATACTTCAATCTTTTATGCACTTGTGAGACATCACTAGACTGGAAATTTTACTCTTTTCAAAAATCAAAAAATTCTTTCTGGCGGCAAAGTTGAGGCATGTTGCTGGAAAACAAAAGACGATTGAGGCATGTCATACATGCTATCTTGTTTTTCTTAAAAAAATGTCCGAATAATGTCACATTTTGACAGCTGTCAAATTAACCGTTTTAGATTTTCTGCCAAAAAACGAATTCCTCCATTTTCGGTTTTTTGCTGATATGATTATTTTCACAACCAAATGATCGATCGTAAATCTCAAGCCGACTATCGAAAGCATCAAGTTACCTCTAAAACTTTCCCCATTTAACCTTTGCTGTAGGTATAACAGGAGCCAAGATACCTGTTTAGAGAAGCGAATCTGAGACACACTGTATCTATTCATTTTTATAGAGCTTGTTGGGAGTTTTCCCTTGAATACTAAAAAGTTGTACTATTCAGATTCTGCGACTACTGCTGAACAAGCGCAACTCGAGCAGTACAGAACAGATCCTGGGCGCATTTTCCGAGACAACCCAGCTGGCAGTCCGTAAGGTGTTCACATTATCTGGACAAGCAGTCACAGATTTGCCTCATTACTTCGGATCCGAGGATGTGTTCTTAGTGTACGGCAATGAAAGACCGCAGCAAGTTGACTTTGAGTTGGAGTTTGAAGAAAGCAAGGCGGTGCAGCAGTATAGGCGGACACCAGGAGTCAGGAACGGGTATGAAGAACACTCTTTGACTACGTATTAGCACAGACTTGGCTTATTGCGGCTTAAACTTCTTATAGTAAAACACGAGGGCCGTCTGATAAGTACTTAGCCTCACCGCCTGATGGCGCCGCTATCGCAAGAGGAATTTACTATCGTGTAGTATATTCTCTTAGACGGCTGCTGTCAAAATTTTAGTCGAATCGGACTCGTCGTTTAATGGAACCGGACGTGTGCGCGGATTTTAGAAAAATGGGAAAGAGCAATATCGGTAGGTGATTCGATTCAAAACGCCCTGTAAAAAGGGTTTTGACAACATTGTCACATTTGCGAGCTATAAGTTTTCTGAGATTTGTTGGCGAGAAAAAGTTTTTAAAAGATGGAAGTTGACCCAGGAGGATCAACAGACGACCCAGTTCCACATACTGTGAGGAAAGAGCTGAGCGGTGGCGGAAACCAAGCAGAAGCAGAAAACATGAGCTCACTGACGCAGACGTCATCGGAGCAGAAAACGATCGAAAAACTGATGCTGATTATAGACGACCAGGCGAGGCAGATTCGAGACCTAATGGAGACCATCAAGGACCAGACAGCCAAAATTGACAGCCTTACCGCCCAGGTAACCATATTACTAAATTCAAAAGAATCCCCTAAAGAACGGACAAAGACCCTAAAAAGACCACTGAGAAACGTTTCCGATGATCATCTCACATCCACAGACGAAGACGTACAGACTGAAGGATTTGTAAAAGCAAAATCAAGAAGGAGAAAAGGCGACAAGGCTGATCGATCAACCCAAGACTTTCCTCCTCTTCCGAATACAGGATCAATTCCATTTCACACCTCCCCCAATTTATCAAATCGAAACACTATTAATGCTTCTATTACCAAGCCAGGGAACACGTTATCTACCTGTCAGGTGACTCCGTCAGCCGATCTTACTTCTCCTCCGTCATCTCGTCCAACTGTCGTGGCATCAACACAACCCTCACGACAAGGGCGCATAACCCCGATCTTACGCGACGGAACGAGATGGCGTACTTTAAATTTCAAGTTTATTTCCCTAGGTATTAAAATAGATCGCGCGGTTGCCGTCGATGCGGGAATAAGGATTATTCCTAAATCCGAGGACGACTACCGTAAGATCGTTCGCCTATTCCGAGAGGAAGAAGTGCCCCATCACACTTTTCCTCTCCCTTCGGAACGGAACATCCATGCGGTGGTTCGAGGAGTTCCCGTCAACTTTTCGGATACTGAGATTAAGGGAGAACTGGAGCATAGGGGATATAGCCCTCTTCACATCATTCGATTGAAGCGCAGCGGCGGCGCGCCCATGCCTTTGGTGGTCGTGATACTGCCCAAGACTGAAAAGTCTCAGCAAGTGTTCAACGAACACGAACTGCTGGGACTGGCCATTCGAGTTGAGGTTCAGAAGAACTCCAGACTCATTGGGCATTGTCACCGCTGCCAAAAGTATGGACATGCGCAGTCATATTGCACTGCACCGCCCAAATGCTTAAAATGTGCAAAGGACCACATGACGCATTTGTGCCCCCTCACAGAAGTGGAAGAACGCAAGTGCGCGAACTGTGGAGAGGGACATCCCGCAAATAGCCGGAATTGCAAGTTCACTCCAAGGAGGAACTTGCAAGTTATAGCGCAAAGGCGCAATATATCATACGCGGACGCAGCTCGGGAGGTAACCTTGCCTGCCCCCTCGGCCCAACCTCCCTTGAGCACGCAAAATGTGGACCTGGCAACCGCGCTAAGGTCCTTACAACAAATAATAAGCCCACTGATTAGCGCTACCCAAGCGTTGCAGGCGATATTTCCTGTAAATGTCTAGGTACAATAGTAGACAGCCTGCATTCATCAAAATTCTTTTTGGAATTGTTTGGGCATGAGGGATATTCCCAAAAAACGGGAATTTCATCAAGCTCTTTTGGATGAAGGTATAGATGTGGCCTTGCTGCAGGAAACGCTGCTTAATCCGGGAGATCGTTTAGCTCTCCCGAATTATGATGTTATCCGAGGTGACAGATTGAATGGTCGAGGCGGCGGTTTAGCAGTGTTGATTAAACGCGGTATAGACTATTATAGAAGCACTAATGCGGAGATGCATAGCATCGAAGCAGCTTCTGTGGTGGTCAATATGGCGGGAGGTGTCTCGTTGAAGATCACATCGGTGTATGTCAGGTAGGGGGCCAGGCTACAAGAGGCGGATCTGGAGGTCCTTTTGGACTACTCGGGTCCGCTTATTGTGGCAGGGGACTTCAACTGCAAACATCGAGCATGGAATTCTAGGTTGAATTCCACTAGTGGGGTTCGATTGTACAACCATGTGATGCGAAATGGGTACCTTATACACAGCACTGAAGAGCCGACACATCATCCATTCAACCATCTTCAGGCACCAGATGTCATCGATTTCGCGATATCTAAAAACTGTAGATACAGTATCTCTTCTCGAATCTTGTATGATATCTCTAGTGACCATCTACCTGTTGTCTTGGATGTGGGCAATGAGCAAACTTCTGAGGAGGCAGCTCCTCCAAGGAAACGCATTGCTTGGGACCTATACAAGTTGCTCCTTAGAGAGTTTCCCAATATCCCGATTATAGATGATGAGTCTGGAATAGATGCCGCTCAAGCGGAGTGGACAAGTTTCATTCAAGCAGCTCTACAGCGTGCAGCTGTATTTCCTGTACAACGACACGGCAGACCCTTTTTGCCTGCGGACATTCGTCAGAAAATCTCTGACAAAAGAGCCGCTATTAAGCAGGCAAAAAGGTCTTGTCATCCCGATGACATTCGTAGGGCTACAAATCTTGTCCATGAAGTGAGAAACGCACTACACGAACTCCGCAACGAGCAATGGAGCGACTTTCTGGCGGGAATGCTTGATTCAAGTATTCCTCTCTGGAGGGTCGCAAAGTCACTCAGAAACGGAAAGCGAGAACAACTCCCACACATCCACGGTCCTGAAGGCATAGTCTTCAGAACGGAGGATAAGGTCGAGGTTTTCGCTGATGCCATGGAAAAGCAGTTCTCTCCCAACTATGATCTCGATAATGACCTCGACGAGGAACAGCACATCGTACGATCCGTCAGGAGATATTTTAGGGCCAACGGCGTTAGCGGAGGCACTGAATCCTCTTCAGATGACTCTTTTTCAGAAGATTCGTCTGAGGCTCCACATAGCACATTAGCGGAACCCTCCGAGTTTCCACATTGCACACCAGCGGAGTTACTAAGTCATATTAAAGACCTCAAGGTGCGTAAAGCACCTGGGGAGGATCAAATCACCAACAAGGCGTTGAAGCTGCTCTCGCCGAAAGCCCTGACATACTTGGTGACAATAATCAATGCGACGCTCAAAATCCAGTACCTCCCTGCTGGGTGGAAGACTGCTGAGGTCATCATGATTCCAAAGAAGGTGGGTTCGATATTTCCTCAGGATTACCGTCCCATAAGTCTGCTGTCAGCTCATTCTAAGCTCGCCGAAAAGGTGATTTATCGTCACCTTGAGAATTTTTCGTCAAATCACCATGTGATTCCTGACGTCCAATTCGGTTTTCGGTCCGAGCATAGTACCGAGCTACAGGCAGTCAGGCTGGTGGAGCATGTAACCAGAGGGTTCACCCTTAGCATGAGTACTGGCATCTTGCTTTTGGATGTCTCAAAAGCCTTTGACAAGGTGTGGCACGCGGGCCTCCTCTATAAACTAATCCAAAAGGGTTTTCCTTTTGGCTTCTAAAATTACTGAAATCCTTTCTTGAAGGAAGGAAGTTTCGGATCAAAATTAACAATGTTTTGTCAACAACACGGCGAGTACGGGCCGGTGTTCCTCCGGGCTCGGTCCTAGGACCAATTCTTTATTCGCTTTTCATCCATGATGTCCCTTCCCCCAGCAACTGTGAAGTCTACCTCTATGCTGACGACACTGCACTTGTCGCCCAGTCGTGTACTGGTGATCTGGTTCACGATGGGTTGCAGAATGCGGTGGACGAAGTTCTAGAGTGGGCGGAACGGTGGCTGATAAAATTAATCATTCGAAAACGCAGGCTATTTATTGTACCAAAAAACGTCGCGGCCCCCCAGCAGAGGTTTAACTGTAGACGGAAATCGTGTACCATGGACAAATTCTGCCAAGGATCTCGGTGTCACCCTTGATAAAGGCATGACCTGGCAGAAACATACAGCATCCATAAAAACAAAATTCCAAATTGCGTTTCGGCAACTATATCCTTTGTTATGTAGATCCTCCAAATTGAGTTTGATAAACAAAGTTCGACTATATAAAATGATTATTAGACCAGCCATTACTTATGCATGTGCGGCTTGGTGTTTTCTTGCCAAGACACGCATGCAAAGTCTTCAAGTACTGCAAAGCAGAACTTTGCGGACAATTTGCAACGCTCCATGGTATGTCTCAAATGAGACACTACACAGAGACCTTGACATTCCTTACTTGAGGGATTATGTCAAGCTTCAGGCGCAGCGACGTTATAGTCAAGCGGAATCGCACAGCAACCCTCTGTTGCGTGACTCAGTGAACTACACAGTGGAGCAAGTTCGTAAACATTCAAGGCCACGGCTCGCACTGTAATCAAAAGTTAGCGTGAATCTTTAGTAAACTCAAAATTACATTCTAACAAAACCGAATCAAAAATTTGTTTAGTTCACCTCAAAATTAATCCGTGTACCAAGTCAAAAAGCCTAGGTGTTTCCTCTTAAACTAAGCATATCCGTTTTTCTTTATTCTTCTCTTTTTTTCTTCTCTTTCCCTTTCTCTTTTTCCTTGACTTTGTCAGGTTTCTGGGCAACCAGGACTGACAGATTCGACTAACGTACATCAGACAGTGACTAATGGGCAAAGGTCCTACGGACCGCCCAGACAAATAAATGACGAATAGTAGTGATTCGATTCTTCTTTTTGGAAGGGAAATGGCGACCGTCAAAAACTGGTTTAATTAGTTTCAACGTGGTCGCACGTCGGTTTTTGATGATGACAC